TATAGAGTGACAGCAGGGAAGGGTCATTTGCTCTTGCTTAGTGCAAAATTCTGGATTACTTCAGAAATGTGTGGAGGAATTATACTTTGCAAGCAGACTACAGTGTAATTAAAACTTATGAACTGTGATGCATTGCCTACAGCATTTCTGCATATGGCAGAGGTGAAATTACACACATTTCTTCCAATCTTGAAGAAAACCGAAAAGTACTTTCCTTTTAAAAAATAATCACTTTTTCCAGCTTTCATCCAGGATAGTAGAAAAGGCATGCTTGAGCGAGAAAAAGGACAGATTGATTTACCTGGATTGTTAAAGGAAGGGAGCTGTCTGGCAAATAACTGCTGCTGAGCTGTGGGCTTTTTCTGCTGCTCAACACATCTGTGACAAACAGAAACAACAATCAATTCATCAAACCACTGCTCGGCTAAAAAGGACTGAGGCTGAAACAAAAAGTCCGAGAGACTCTGTCAAATGTAAACGCCAGAAAGCCGTGCCAAAAACCGAGTGCACGGCCACATCAAGACAGCCGAGAGCAAGCGCACAGAAAGAGACAGGCGTGCAGACATGTTCAGAACTAAATGAAAAGATGTAACAAAACAATAAGGCAGACATCAAAACAAGCGCAAAAAAGGGGGAGGGGGCGGGGGGGGGTGTGTGGGGGGGCACCACTAACAGCTGCAGTACAGAATGAAACTTCAAATGGGTAAGAAAACAAAATCCAGCCGGTAAAAACGACGAAAAAAACAAACGTAGAAGGGAGCCGAGTGGAACCGAGCCCCAAGGCCCCCGGTGCCCATGACGGAGCTGCGGGCGGGACTCACCGGGCGGGGGGGCGGCGGCGGCGGTGGCGGCGAGCGGGGGCAGCTGCGGGGGGGTGCCAGGGCTGGGGGCCGCGCTGGGGAAGGGCACGGACAGCTGGGCGCTCAAGAGCTGCAGCCGCTCCTTCTTCACCGTCAGGGTCTTGATCTGCTCCTCCAGCCGGCGGTTCTCCACCTGCAGCTGGTGCAGGGATTTCAGCATTCCCAGGACTCCGGAGGCAAGGGGGAGAGAAAGCTCAGAGCCGCTCCACTGCTACCACGTCTCTACCGCTTCACGAGCACGGCAGGTTTGCCCGATTCTCAAAGTTACCTGGCTGTAATCCTCTGTGAAAACATTTTGGATGAAATGCCCGAGCGTACGTTGTCCTCTCAACGTTTGGTACCTGTCTGTTCTGTGACTGAACCAGCTCTCTTTTGAATTCATGTATTTGGCAATTGTTACATTTTTTTTTGCTTCTTGCGTTTAAACTTGAGCACTTGGAACTATATTCTGTTTCCAGAAATTACTCCTACAAACCCGCATCTCTTTTGTGAAACATTGAATGTATTCCATAATACATTGTAGCAAAAAAAAAAGCTATCTTCTCCTTAACCAGATAAACACAACTTTGCCCTAAAATGATTCGTTTTGTGAGAAAGCTGAAGTACACTGTATATTCACGTTTGACTGCAGAAAAGTTTAAATATCTTGTGCAGCGGAACTGGTTGACCGATATCTCGGCAAACTGTGCAAACGTGTTTGAAAAGGGTACAAGCCTGAAACGTTTCAAAAACAAAATAAATTCAGATTTGACACATTTGCAACAGGCCTGCTGAAAGGTGTTCCAGAAAGTGCTGGGCATCAACACAGAATTTTTTCTTAGCATTTTTTGCCGATTTTCTACGCTAATTCTTAAGATCGCATGGACCATAAAGACCCCTATTTAAGAATAACACAATATCAAAAAGAACACCACTTGAACTTAAGCACAAATAGAGGACTGTTCAGAATCTACTGATTTACATAACAAAAAATGTAATATTTACCAAGACAAGCACCGAAAACTGAGAACCTTAATTTTAAAGAGGGCTGGTTCAAATCATAGAACACACATGTACCAGATGTTGAGAGGATAGTGTATGATATAGTGTATAGGTTTTT